AAAAAAAAAAAAAAAGAAAGGCAGTAATTCCTCTGACATCAGCCATGGCAACATTTGTCTAGATAGAACTCTTCAGGAAAGGGAAACAAAAGCAAACAAACTACTGGAACTTCATCAAAATAAAAAGCTTTTGCACAGCAAAGAAAACCACCAACAAATGAAAAGGCAACCTACTAAATGGAAGAATGCAAATGATAAATCAGATAAGGGATTAATATCCAAAATATATAAAGAAGATAATACAACTCAACACCAAAAAAGCAAATAATCTGATTAAAAATGGGCCGAAGACCTGAACAGACATCTTTCCAAAGAAGACATACAGATAGCCAACAGACACGTGAGAAGATGCTCAATATCCCTACTCATCAGGGAAATGCCAATCAAAACCACATTGAGATAATACCTTACACCTGTCATAATGACTAGACTCAAAAAGACAAGCAACAAATGTTGGCAAGGATGTGAAGGAAAAGGAACTCTAGCGCAATGCTGATGGGAATGTAAACTGGTGCAGCCTCTGTGAAAACAAGTATGGAGGTTCCTGCAAAAACTAAAAATAGAAATACCATATGACCCAGTTAATTCCACTATACTGGTTATTTATCAAAAAAAGCCAAAACACTAATTTGAAAAGATATATGTGCCCCTATGTTCAAAGCAGCATTATTTACAACAGCCACAATATGGAGACAACTAAGTATCCATCAATGGATAATAAAGTTGTGGGGTATGTGTGTGTGTGTGTGTGTATGTGCATGTACACACGTGTAAAAGAATATTATTTGACCACAAAAAAGGAGGAAATCATGCCATTGGGCACAACATGGATGGATTGTGAAGGCATTATGCCAAGTGAAGTAAGTCGAGCAGAGAAAGACAAATAATGTATGATCTCAACTACATGTGGAATCTTAAAACAAACAAAAACTCACAGAAAAAGAGATCGGGGGTGCCTGGGTGGCTAGGTCAGTTAAGCGTCTGACCCTTGATTTCAGCTCAGGTCATGATCTCATGATTTGTGGGACCAAGACCCACATCTGGCTCTGCACTGACAGCACAGAGCCTGCTTGAGATTCTCTCCCACTCATGGGTTCTCTCTCTCTCTCAAAATAAATATTTAAAAGGAAAAAAGAAAATGAGATCAGACTTGTGGTCTTATGGCTACCAGATGAAGGGGTAGGAGGAGGGGGAATTGGAAGAAGGTGGTCAAAAGAAACAAACTTCCAGCCAAAAGATAAATAAGAACTAGGGATGCAATGTACAACATGATAAAAACTGTTAACACTGCTGAAAAGCATATATGAAGGTTGTTAAGAAAGTAAATCCTAAGAGTTCTTACCACAGGGGAAAAAATGTTTTTTGCTTTTCTTTGTATCTACAGGGGAGAAAATACGTAAACTAATCTTGCTGTAGTAATAATTCATGACATATGAATTTCACAACATATTATCACTGTGTTGTACACCTTAAACTTATACAATGCTGTATGTTAATTGTATCTCAATAAAACAAAAAAATTTGAAATATGATCAAGATCATGCATGCTTGAAACTCACCAATGACTTCCAATATCATTTAGAAAAAAAAACTAAGGAAGTCTGCTTTCTCACTGCATCCCCCACTAAACAACGTGCTCCCCCAAAGGCCAGAACCCTGTCTTATACTCATCTCTAACACCCAGGTCACTTAAAGCACCTGGCAGACAATATGTGCTCAGCACTATTCTCTCAGACCGTCTCACCCATTCCCCCAGCTTGAGTTACCACTTTCACCAGATGTTTCTCACTTCAGATATGAACTGCGTATTAGATACCTACACTAGAATTTCAAAAGCACCTCAAATTTAACGTGTGCAAACAGACGTTTAGTTCTGCCTTCCTGCCAAGCTCATCTCATCTACTCCTGCCTCTTCTTCCCTCACCTCCCTACCTGTTCCTACAATTTCTGTCTTGGTATAAATGGGATTATTCTCCACTCAACTGTGCAAGCCAGAAACCTGAGAAGCAACACTGATTTCTCCTTTTAAACTCAGAGCCAAAGCCATAACGAACCCTTATGAATCCTACCTAAAACATGGGCTTCCAAACTACCTGTATTTCAGTCTCATTTCTGGACTTTTGCTTATGCTGTTTCCTCTGCCTGAAATGCTTCCTGTTTTCTCCCTATAGCGTGGTTAGCCAGGTCTCAGCGTTCGTCATCATCTCCAGGAACCCTTCCCTGCCCCTTCCAACCTAGTTTGAGCGCTACTCTTATGTGCGATCCCCTATCCACAGCCTGGGTCACACTACACTGCCACCTCCCCCTTGGGCCACGAGTTCCCTCAAAGTTTAGTTGGCCGTTTCCCCAAACGTAGCTGTGCTTTGCAAGGAACCGAACTCAGGCACTGTTAGTTAAGCGAGTGAAGAATTACAAAGGTGGGCGATAACAGACCCTTCAGGTACAAGGTACAGAAGGAAGCCGGCTCGGTCTAAGGGAGCACTGCTAGAGGAGCCGGGGACTGGGATGAGGGGGTGGGGCCCGCGTGGTTCTCGCCCGCCAGAAGGACGCTCTGGGTCTCCCAGGAAAACGCGCCAGCGGACGTCTGACAGGTCACTTACCCGCCTCAGAGGCAAGCCGACGGCATGGCAACCCCGCCCCGCAGGGCCTGGGCAGCGGCTGGAGCAGGGTGCCGAGATGGAGCCGAGTTCGGGCCGGGAAAGAGACCCGCTCGGTGTTCCGAGTACCTGTCAGGAGGCCCCACAGCGACACAGACGCTCTGAGGGTCGCCATGATTATCCGGGGCCATCTGCGCCGGAAGTGGCTGTGAGCCATTTCGGGTCTCGCGCACTTCGCGCCGCATTCTGGGAAATGTAGTCTGGTTGCGGGAGGTGGGAGGCGAAGCTGCGCAGCTTTACGATTTTCTTGTAACCCGCTTCTTACCACGTGGAAAATGTTCGTGTCCTGTGTATGCATACAGCCAAAGGTAAAACGTACAACATCTGCCTTATATATTTTTTCCTGGACCTTTCCTTCGGTTTCCATGGCTCTAACCGATTTCCATGGCCTGCCCAAACTTTCTCTCCATGCCCCAGGTTTAAATCCAACTGCCTATTCGACTTATCCATTCCAGCTTATCACAGACCCTCCCACATGCCAAATATAACCGATTGCCACCACCAACTTCATCCATACCAACTCATACACTTCATTCTGTCTCAGAACCTTACCTCTTTACTTCATAGCCCTTTTCTCAATTTGTGATTATTTTGCTCATTTATTTGCTTATTTTTCTCATCCCATGAAGACAATCACTCTACGTATGTCACCTAACCTGTAATGTCTATGTCCAGCAAACGTGTTGAATAAATGACTGAATGAATGATTAAGTGATCCTGTTATTTTCTTACCAGCTGTCCAGGATGTGTAGGTCTTTCTCTTCCCTGTAGTTTGGCACTTGTGCTAAGAACTCTTCCCAAGGCCTGGCCAAAGGAGGATGTTAACACTTGTTTGAGTTAGTTGGACAGGTAGACTCATCTTCTAACCTTAACCTCTTTTCCACCATGGCTCATTTAGATCTCTGTTTCTGAACAGATTCCCTGATTGGGTGGGGGAGCATAGAGCTCTAGGCTGCAATCAGGGATGGCTGCTGCCCTATTATTCCCAACACTTCCGCTCACACCTACATGATAGCAGGTAGCAAGTGTCAGGGAGTGGTAGTGAAATGCATGCAAGTGTCTCCCAGCCCGTGCCCTTTCTCTAAGAATCGCCCACCTACTTCATTCCCATAGGCACTGCTGAGACGATAGGCCTCACTGGCTATGTTTTTGTATATCACTCCCCTGAATAATACTGTTTGGACAATGAGTGGACACCTAATGCAGGAGGAATGAATCCATTGGCTGCTGTATTAGTTTCTTGTAGAGATGGCTGACTATGTGCTTTGAGAAAAAGAGAGATGAGGAAAGGTGCTATCTTGGCCAGAGACCCTCCCATGTTCCTTTCATTAATCTCCTTTATTCGGGCCACACTAAGTTTTACTGACAAGTATTAACCAAGTTTCCTAGTTCTAGCTGTAACCATGGACAGTCGCCCACGTCATTCAGAATCTCAGTTCCTCACCTACAAAATGGCTATAATGAGAGCACTTACCTTGCAGACTTTGAGGACAAAGGACTTTCAGGATTTGACGTCTGGCATTTCATAAATGGGGTGGGTGCAAGACAGCTGGGTGGCAGCAAGTCGGGGCCTGTCTGAAGATCTTCAGAGGGAACGCTTAACAGTGAAGGCTATCTGGTTATAAGCAACAAATATTTCCTGTCTAAAACAGAGATGGAAGTGTTGGGAAAGATGTTGACTATCTCACAGAGTGAAAGGGAAAGGTGAATAGCAAAGCCGCAGGAAGGCCTTGAAGGATGGAAGCTCCAGGGTTCCCAGAGGCAGGAACTCAAGAGAAATCTCTCCAGGAGGCTGCTGTCAGAATGCCTTGGTTCCAACTACTTGCTTTCCATCAAAGCCGAGTTCCTGGTGAGAGAAACTGACTGGCCTAGGTGAGGTCCTATTCACCCTCTGGGAAATGGGGAGGGCTGGCCCTCGGACAGTCCTAAGACACCCTAGAAGCATCCAGTGGTAGGATTCATCAGGTCAAATCTGGGATCACTAGCTCTGTGGAGCAAAAGTGGGTATTATTTGTAAAACAAAAGTATAGTGACATTTCAATTATTCAACTGCCAGTGATTTTACAGGGTCTGAATTTTCATTATTTTCCTAAAGGGACTGGGATTTTGCCCTGGGCTTTTAGAATTCTTCAAGATGATGATCTGGGGGCAGAATACTGGAAGAGGGATGTAGAGAGATGGAAAGAGGAAGGACAGGGCCTGAGAAGGAAAAATGACAGTGTGGAAAATCCAAGAGCCCTTGCAATCTCCAGCAAACCCTTGAAACTTCCACAGGTCTTCAAAACACCATCTTCCCGAAGGACCACATCTGCCCCATTTGTATTTTCCCTGCCCCCGTTCAGGTCCCAACTCCCAACATGTTCCCACAGACACAAATTCCATGGTCAAAGCCCCTCTGTGCACTGAGAAGAGATGGGTAATAAGGCAAGAAGTGAAATGAGGAGGGACAAGTAATGATGGGAGGCTCCCAAGGAAGCTGCAGAGAATGAGGCCCTAAATGGGGAAACTGGCCACTGATGGGAAGCAATCTTTGTACCAGGAGGCAAGAAGTTTAAGGTGAGTCGAGTGTGGATAGGTCTTGAGGAAGGAATCAGAGGGCCTTCCTGCCTCTCTGCCTCTGTTCTCCAGGCAACAGAAAGCAAAGCCATTGGTTGAGAAAAAATGGGGTTGTGTTGGTAGCTGCGGGAGCAAGAAGTTTGATGGTGCTCCTGGGGGCTGTACATCTGGCTGTGATGCCAGAACCTGAAGGAACAGCAGTCCACCAAGTGGTGGAGAAGTCACAGCAGTGCAAGAGAAGAGGAACCAGGATCTGGAAGCCTGGAAGTGATTCCTGATAGTTCTAAAGGAATATGGAAATAATGTGTGCCTGGAAGCCTGTGAAAATCTGTACCTGAGCAGAAACATCCTGAGCAATGGTGAGGATGTTGAAAGATGTGACAAAGCACAGCCATCATCCCTTCATTCGGAGGGCACTGTTTTCTCATCAGTCCTGCTGGTCTTCCTGGCAAACTGGTGAGGCAGACAGGACAGGCACCAATATGACCATCTTCTATACATATAAGCTGAGGCTCCAAAGTTGGGCTTGCCCAAGGCCTTCCAATTTATTCAAAGCAAACACAAGGTACACTCTAGGGTCCCTGGCAGCTATTATGGTGGAAAAGTTGTTTCACATGTGTTTCCTGGGGTAAGGAAAAACACTGAGACTTCCGGGATGATACAGACTCTCTTCTGAGTCCAGAAGGTGACCCAAAAGAGAGCAAGCAGGAAGACCGTCTTCCACCCTGAAATAGTGGGAGTGAATGAGTCACTTCCTCCAACCCTGGAGTTATCAGTTTATCTCCAAATTTCCACATGGCACTCTGTCTCCTTGCTTCTGACAGCACCCGCTCAACTATAATTCTACCCAAAAGTGAATTCTACCCAAGACAGAAAATGATCGCCAGAGGCCAAGGCTACATCTGTCTGTGATAACAGGCAGACCCTCTGTCCTATAGCACAGTGACATAAATGTCAAAGGCACTTAGGCTGGCTCCTTCCTGCCATCCCAGATGCCCTCGCAATGACGGAGGCCCAGAGTAATCACCCCATGTCATGGCCATCATGGATATGATCTATAATAGCTGACACTTGGCTCCCTTGCTCCCCAGAGCTGGCTGCTGTCAGGTTTGGTATGTGGAACATTTTGTCAGAGGGACATGCTGGCCTGGGTTGAAAGTAATTCCCATCAGCTCAGAACCGGGTGGTCTGTCACAAGATTATTTTTCAGTTCGATCTGGACTCCGGAAGTCCTTTGGATGGAGAGCTGGTATTTTCAAAGGTTAATAAGCCTGTCAGAAATTTCTTTCATGAGAAAATGTGATGCATCTGATCTCCCTGACTTGCATGCAGTTCCCAGATCAGGGGTCTGAGCATAATTTCACTTTGGCCTCAGAACTTGAGCGTCCTGAAGATTCCTGGGGCCTGGACTGTGAGAAGCTGGCAGTGGGTTGCAGTGGTTGGAAGCCAGAGCCAAAAGAGCAGAATATAGATTCTTAGGGTGCCCTAAGTGTGTGTGCCTATGTGTATGTGTATGTGCAAATGTGTGTGTTTGGCTGTGTCATGCAAACGTGTATATGTGTGTCTTCTGGGGACACAGATGCATGCATACGTGTGTGCACATGCATGGGCGATCATTTTGTGTGCACGTTCAAATACATATGAATATGCATGTATGTCCATGTGTGCAAGTACATACGTGTATATGCAAAGTGAGTGTATGTGTGTGTTTATGTGGTCTCTTCTGTGTACAGGTGAACATGCATGTGTTCACATGTGTCTACTGGCCTGGGAATGGGAGCAGATTCATGGTAAGAGCTTTGGGGCCAGACAGATGTAGGTTAAAATTCGAGCTCCACAACTTATTAGCTGTATGAGCCCTTGTTACTCATCAGCTTCATTTCCTGCTATGACGTGACAGCAGCTTCCACACAGAACAAGAGCAAAAGTTAACAGGCATGAAGCACACAGTCAGTGCCCATCAGATGACAGACAGCATCATTACTATTACTATTACCACCAGCATCTTTCTGGTCTCATCTCATCTTGTTCCATGGCTACACAGCATTCCTTCTGTCTCCAAAGTTTCCCTATGCCCCTCAGGAATCCCTTTATTCCACTCAGCCTACACAACTTCCTTCCCCCAGGCCACCACTGCTTTCCTCCCTCACAGAATAGCTTGCATTTTCTGGAGTTTTGTAAAAAAAGCATCCTAAGTATGTGCTCTTTTTCCATCTGGCTTCTTTAATTCAGCATGATGATTTTAAGTTTCACCCATGTTTCCTGTGTATTGATAATTGTTCCTTTTCATTACTGAATAATATTCCATTATGTGGGTGTACCACAATTTGTTAGCCATTCACCTGCTGAGGGGCTTTTGGGTTGTTTCCATTCTTTGGCCCTATTAGAAATAAAACTGTTAATATTTGTGTACAAGTCTTTGGACATGTGTTTTCATTAATCTTAGGAAAATATCTAGGAGTGGGATGGCTGAATCATATGATTAGGTGCATCAAATTTTTCAAGAAACTCCCAAACTATCTTCTAAAGTCATTGTACCATTTTGTATCTCCTCCAGCGGTGTGTATGAAAATTTGGTTTCCTCAACATCCTCACCAACACTTGATGTGGTTAGTTTCTTTGCCATTCTAATACATGTGGTATCTCATTTTGGATTTTTTTTTTAGGTTTATTTATTTTGAGAGGGAACATATGCACGCACATGAGCAGGAGGGGGCAAAGAGAAGAAGAGAGAGAATACCAATCAGGCTCCATGCTGTCAGCACAGAGCCCAATGTGGGGTTTGATCCCACAAACTGTGAGATCATGACC